TGAGCTCTCTCATGCATTGTTCAGCGTCGGAGATGTCAAATACGGATATGACAACTTTATCACGCTCAACTCCACGGATAACCTCAACAACGCGGACACTTATGCATTCTTTGCTAAAGGTAAGCTATCTCACGGAAGCCTTCTCTATAAATTCTGGACCAACCGCTAACATCATACAAAGCTTCCCACAACAATTGTTGAGTTTGGAAGATCTTCACATTCGCGGCTTGTTGGAAAAAGAGTAGAATGTGATGATACAAATGGGGTTACGAGAAGTCCAGCCGTATGAGCGTTTACTAGTGATATCCGCACGGCGGTGTGAGAATTGGTATTAGGGTCTCTACGTAGCCTAAACCCATGACAAGGATCTTAGACCTTAATCTTACCTAGCGCCTCGACGTCGGTGAATGCATTGACCAGGGCAAAGTACACCCCGCTTTCTGTCTTGATCACCTACCATTGCGGAGACTCTGAATATCACGAGCTGCAAATATCTCGTGCTTGCGGGTCTGTACCTCGCCACACACAAGATTGGCGAGTCAACAAGTCTTTCGGTATAACCCTCGCCATTACTGCAACTACAACATTTCGCAACCGGACGTATCCCGCCATGGAGCTACTCGATCTTCCAACCGAAATCTTCGAATGCGTCATGGCGCACTACGTCAACGGGGAGGGCATCCGACGAGCGTGGCTTCGTCGCAGTGTGTGCAGTAATCGATCATGTCACCACTCATGACGGACAGCATTGCTGACGACTACAGGGACCTTCTGCGACCATATCAAGATACAAGTGTTTGCCAAGCAGCCTGTCTCAGCCTATTGGAACCTGAGTAAGCGCGACTCGGCGTTTTTGCGAAACATACTCAGGCCCTTCCTCGAGCACCGAGTGGTCGCCCTGTACGGCGCCAATCACGTTCTCCCCACGCATATCAACAAGATTGTCGACGTTCTCGTTAACGTCAGCGGTGATACCTCGCCTGACAAGCGCTCTGTTTGGGTTCGCGGTGTAATCGGCGCTCTGATCAAAACCCCGAATATCTGCAAGCTCGCCTATAACCCGAGTGACAAAAGCAGGAGCATGGTACTGTCGTCGCCGGGGCGTCAAGAGGCTCTGAGTGTCGCGGTCATCATGGGAAAGAGGGACACTGTCTGCGCACTTACTACCGAGCAGGGTGCCATGTGGACAAAGTGCTCGACAGGATCTGAACTGCGTTGTGCGCTGGAGTTGGCCGTGCAAAACGATGACCTCGATCTTGTTGAGGTCCTACTATCTCATACTCAGCGATCAACTGTGAGCCAGATCATGAAAGTACAAACCATGACGGTCGTAAGCGGCATTATGCATGCTATCCGGAGCAATGAGCCCATCGCGCTGGTTTTGCTGGACTGGTACATCTCAAATGCCAAGCACAAGGAGATACGCTACCTCATGGACTGGTTCGAAGAAGCCTGCGCATCTGAATTGATGAGCTTCCTAGGTAGGCTGATCGCACTGTCCACGCCAACTATGCGAAAAGATTTCAGAAAGAGGTTCCTCACGATAGCCGAACCGTGTTCCAACGCATATAGCAGGCGCCATCATTTCCATCCTCAGCTCTTCCGTGTTCTCGTATCCTTCTTGTTGGATGCAGGTTTGTTTGACCGCATCAACATGAACTCATCCGAATGGACAGAGCGCGCTCAATTCCACGGTTTGATTAACACTGCGGTACGTAGAGGGGACTTGAATGCACTTGAGCGCGTCATGGCGGCCAGCGCAAATTCCGATCGCCTACGCCCCGATGCTAAGGGTCTGTCAACTTCGCTACGCCACGCTACTCAACAATGCCGTTTCGATATCTGCAAGTTGTTGATAGATCACGGCGCCGATCCTGATCTCAATCTTGGTACGAAAGACCCGAGATAGATTCGTCTTTCGAAATTCGGTAAGTTTCACTTTTCTTCGCTCAGAGCAGTTCATTCTCAGGAGATGGCGTACCTGAATCAATTATTTCGTATTACTTTGACGTTCCATGCTTACCAGTGGTAATACAGCGAAGAGACTCATACATTCATGTGGTGGATGCGGGTAAAATGGCTGTGGAGAAGCTGGCTGCGGCTAGACGAAGGAACGATGGACATATGCCCAGGTGTGGCTAGATTCGCAGGGTCCAGGAACGAGGCCTTTGCCTACTGCATGGTAACTCGGGTAGACGCCGGAATGGAATCGAAATGAAAAACGAGCCATCTGAGCTCCTGCACGCTTCTAGTTGAATGCGATGATGACGGTGTCAGGCGCGTGGAGGAGTGAGGTTTGTCGGTTGATGTGACTCCGTAGGGAAAGCCCGCTGTGGAGCCGTCGCGACCGAAGCTAACCTGAATGGCGTCGAACACGTGATGATCTTGAACATCGGGTCGTGTGAAGGCTACGCAGTATGCGCTCTCGCTATATTCGACACTTGGTTTGTGTCCAAGATACTGAAGTCGTATCCAAAAGGTGTGTTGGCATCCTTGGGTGCAACCTTAGAAGGGTTGCGGGCCGATGCGCTGTTGTGGAATTGAGCCAATGGGACGCCTGATCTGGGCTTTCCCTGCCACCCTGCGTCAGCTACTCCTTAGTCACTCTGACTGCAACATCACTTGAGGAACGCAACCTGAGCAGGCTGCTGTTTAAAACTCAACGTATGGGGAGGAAACCAGCAGAGTGCAGAAGTCATGTCGGCAAGTATCTTTGTTCATTAATCATCTACCCAATATCGGTACGCTGTATCTCTGGTATATCGCCCTCCACTTGCCCGCCTTCACAGATCCCAATCACAACTTCTTCGACACTGTTGAACCAACCGAATTGGCTCGATCAGCAGCCACCGTCATTAGGGTCAGACCTACAATCCCACGGCGTTAGCTCTCGTCCTCATCGCACAGTTCGCGACATGTATACAGCCACTTACTTGAAAAACCAGTCAGCGACGGTCTGAGTGCCGCCCAATGGACAGTTGTTGATGTTTTCTTTAAGTCGCCTTTTGCAGTCTTCTACAGCCAAGGTATGTCCTCCGCTGCTACCCTTCCATCCCACCTCGTAGTTCATCTTGATGCCATTGCACCTGGCCGGGGCGCATGCTGTCTTCGTTTGGCGATAGTTGAAATATCCCGCGAGGGTTAATGATTTACACAGGTCGTCTGCAGCATCAAGGAATGAATTCTTGTTGCAGTCGTTGAGGTAGGGCTTGCCGCTGCCATAGCAGCCGGCCATGGTGCTGGTGGCCGAAGCCAAAGCGATGAGAGGAATAGAGAGCTTCATCGTGAAGAGCTTGATGAGAAGAGAGGAAAATTCGAGTGTGGTGGTGTTGTTGTTGTTATTGACTTGATGAGGATAAAGAGAGATGGAACAAAGAAGAAAAGCTGCTGGCTTTATACCTTATGCGACTGACTCCGACTGGAACGTGCTGTTCTTACCTCTCTTTCACTCGGGTTGCACGCATATCGACCGTCGCAAGAGCGAGGCTGGAATCCTGCCTGGTCGTGATCCTACACGGGAAGATGTAGATTGCGGGATGTACGAGCCAATCCGCGTACGGGCAACTCTTGTGAAGGATTGCGCTAATCGTGGGCGTACGAGAGAACTGGGACTGTAGGATTGGAAAAAGACTTGTCCTCCGATGAATGTTTCTAAGCCAAGTATCGGGCGTAAGATAGTTCAATACACCAAGGTGAAGCTGTGGGCCAAATTACGCCCTGGTGGAGTAACCTCCACCCAGAATCCTTTACAATCCGCTATATCCGACTGTTAAATGTGTAAACACGAGAGACCTGCTTAATGCGGGAAGAACCGACGCTACGAGAGGCTGAAGAGCAAGGGTGTGAATAGACGAGCCGGGTCTTACCAGTATAGGCTATATCTCCACGAAGCGGACCTGCAGATTTTTGCACAAACCTGATGGCCAGGTAGCATTCTACCAATTGAATTCTGGACCATGGAGGTTATATTAGCGCACTTTCTGCCTGAATGGGAGGACATTCAGTGTCGCGTAGCTGTCAACACCGTTCAGACTTACGCCGATTTACCGGTCCCGCGGTTTAAACACCTCCACCAAGTTTGATATCTGTAATGCTCGGCGCATCGGTGTATCTCTGGGTGCATCGGATCATCTAAGGACAGCACCGACTGAAGACTACCTAGCCAAAACAGATGTGGAACATACGGGCTATGCATATGAATATCATAACGTAGAGATGACCTCTTCATATCAGTAATCGCAAAGCCGTTCTCCACGTAGGGCGCCTGAAGCTACGGTAATGCGCTCGTTTGCGTTTAGCCTCAGTCAGGAAGCCAGATAGAAGTTCCGAGCTCCTCGCAACGTGACGTTCGACTTGATGGAAATGCGTTAACTGCCAAGGGCTTGGTGTAGCAGGATGAGATTTATCATCTCCGGGTCCCTATGTACCTGTGTCACAGGCGACTTGAAGACTTCTTGTCGTTCTGGATGTTGTCGCGCTGATCTTCCGAGGGTTATAGGCGAAATCAGGCGTAAGGTCATGACCAAGCTCTGCGAGTTAATGCTTGTGACATGGACCTCAATTAACGCATTCGTCTTCTATCTGGCTGTGAGAGCATCGGTGGGTAGTCGATTAGCGCCTCCTGAATACCAATCGGGTTGGTGAAGAATGATCCTTCGTCATCATTTGATGGTTGACAAGTCGGCAGCATCTTGACCTAGATGAAACGCCGTGACCACTTCCTCTTCTTACTGTGCTCTTTTCCATTTCCTTCCATCCTCATGGATAGGTAAAGCAGGCCTGTAGGAGCAACAGAGGACCACCCTTACTTCGACGTCGGAACACAGATACCTTGCCCTACCCTGAGATTCCCACAGTCCACACCCTGATTCCCTCTTAAGCCCAGCAAACCATCAACACTCAACCCATTCGCCTCCGCAATCGCCCAACACGTATCCCCCTTCTCAACCCGCAACTGCCTGTCCCGTTCCCCACAGCCAGCAACAACGGTATCAGCCCCATCACTCCTATTCACAAGCTTAAACACCAGGAACAGAAACACCAGCACCAGCAGCGCAAATGGCAACATCATACGCACAGCGCTCCTATTGCCTTCTTCTATCATCTCATCCTGCTCGCGTCGTTGCTCGTCAGACGGGGGCTGCGAGTGCTCGCCCGTTGCACGCAGCTCGCCGTATCGGTTTCCGGGCTCGGATTCGTAGATAAGGCCGGATGCGTCGCGGAAGGTGTAGGTTTGGGTGTCGGCGTCGTAGCCTATGCGCTCGAAGCCGGAGGGGAGGCGCTCGGCGTCCTGGGGGTTGTGTTAGTGGTCTGGTGAGATATGAGGTATAGAAGGCAAGTTACGCTATCCATGTCTGTCCAGCGACCCATCTTGAGAGGGCTGGGCTAGGTAGGGTAAGTTGTGAGGGTAAGTAAGGTGCTGATTACGATATGCTAGGGAGGTTGGTGGTTCTCCAGATAATTACGGATGCGCGGTTACGATGTCGCTAGTTGTGGGATCGCTACAAAAATCCAGGTATCATATGACGCTGTTGCTTTTACAGCCAGTTGCGCAGGAAGCGAAGTTAGATGCAGGAGGGTACGTCGTACGCTCTGACGCGTGGCGGCGGCGCGGAAGAGACGTGACGACGCGGGATGTGGGGCCTTTCCGTGGCGTCCACGGGTGGATCTACAGCGTGCATTGGGCTGGGCTAACGGGCGGCCATGGCTACTTCACACACATCGCAGCCAACTCAAGGTAGCTAATGTCAGTGCAAGCTCACAGGACCACTGATGGCATGATGCTTATCTGAAGTAGACCTTTTGCTGTATTCTACATGCACCGTTCTGACTACATAGCAAAAGGCAGCTGCTACGGCGAGTCGCATGCTCATAGGATGACGAACGCGCACACCCACTAGTGTATGCCATCAACCTTAACCTTCATTTACATCTTTCTTGCTCATCCCAGATGTCCTGAAGCAGCCTTGCCGTCTTCACACTGTGGTTCGCAGCCATATTCCAAATGCCATTGCGCTCAGAGCTCCTCTTCGGCACCACAGCACCATAAGCCAGCAATAACACCACCATATCGATATGCCCTCCCTTGAGTGCATACCACAGCACTGGTGTAGATGGGAGATAACCTTCCTTTCCTTGTGTGATTTGTACACCACTGCGGATGAGCAGCCTGGTAGCCACAAGCCAGCCATTCTCCACCGCCACTGTAAGACCCTGCCATAGTTCGTTAGGGCCGATATAACCCTTTTCATGATTACGAATTGCGTATCTTAGGGTGGGATCGACTTGAAGCAGGTACTGAATGATGTGCGCGTGGCCATAACGACAGGCTGAGTGGAAGGGCGTTGGCTCCAGTCGGCGTATGTAATTGATTGCATCCTCGGGATAGTAACTGAAGCGTAGTACGTCCATTTCACCATTCCGAACTGCCCAGTCGATCCAGCCCCGCTTTGCTTCCCTGATCAATTTTCCAGAGTAGCAATACTTCAGGTACCAGGACATGAGTGTAGGAAGTATAGTAGTACGTTGCTCGAACATGCATGCGTTGATCGCGTTGTGCAGTTGTTTGCGCTTGTAGAAGCGTTTTTCCATACGCTCATAAACGAAAGAAGCGGAGTAAAAATGCCCATTGACCGCGGCGGCGGTAAGCGGCGTGCCGTAAAGCTCGCTACATAGACCTACGTCGTATACCTTGCCAACAAGGAAACGAAGGGCAGGTTCACTATTGACAGCAGCGGCAGCAGCGAGCATTCCCACCGTATCTGCGCGGCTCATGTTCTTCCTGACCTTGACCGAGTCATCGAATGGTCCCTGGCAGAGATATGCGAGAATGTCGTCTACCGAGAGTGCCGCTGACATGGCGTTACAGAGGGCCAGGCGGTAGCGTTCGCGCTGCGCTTGCGATTGATGATATGAGAATTCCATGAGGAAATCGACCGTGGCTTCCATGTGATCAAGAATGTACGTCGAGCGGCAGCGGGTGGGGCCCATCTTGGAGAGGACAGTGTATATATTTGGTGCCAGTAGACGCTGCTTGCGGTCGTCACTGAAGCTGCGGTAGAAACTTGCGGAGTATCGACCAAACATATCCTCGTGTATTGCGATTGCGAAGGCTTTGCACACATATCGTGCTCGGACTGCCACAGCCCATCCGCGGCCATTGTACAGATAGTCGTGCAGGTAGTTGTGTATGATAGCAGCGAAAATTTCTGCTGGGAGATCAAGTAAGTTCATGATGTATCCAGAAGGTGGAGAGCTCATGATGCAAGACTTTGCGACTGAGTTGTACTCATCGCTGCGCTGCCAAGCAATTTGCGCGTTTGCAATCCACGGGTATCAAGTCGCGTAGTCATCTGACTCCAAGTGCAGGATTGACGCGCTGTTGCTGCGATCAGCTTTCAACTTTTGATCTCGCAGTCGAACAATGTCCACAGAGATGCCATGTGGTCTGGTAACTCGAGTAGTACCGCGCGAGCGAGCATGTCTCACAAGTGAACATCCAGAGGGTCTTTATGGTAGCGAGACCCACAACCAAATATTAGTACAGAAATCTCCGAATCCACAGGTTCATATTGGAGAAGACAATTGCCTATATTGCAAAAATTGCGTCAGTTGGGGCATATTAGAACTGATAGCAATAGCTCCAAGGAATCCCTCAAGCTTTTGTTGTTGCGTGCCCAGGTAGTACAAGAACGCTAAGCGTTCGGGGATAAGGGAGGTGACAAACGGTCTGCGTTGGCGAGGCTGTACGTCTCGGCATGATCCCTGCATCGTGAGGCGTCGTGTGCAGTCTAGATTGGGAGCCTGTACGTTCTGATGGCAGAGTGGATGTCAGGAGGCGCGGCGCTGTGTGATTGATGTCAACGATCAGCGGCGTCTGTATTGATGATGATGACCGTGCGGGGAAAAGCCGACGTTGGCGGCTTCCTAGTCGTCGCCTCGCGCTTTCCAATTCCCAGAACGTGTCAGGGATGCTACGATAACGCGTGGTAGGCGCACCTTCCCATCTAAGTTTCATCATTGACATGGCACGACTTACAGACCGTATGAAGGACGCGTTTGATGATTGCATCTTTCAGCCACCGTCTAGACTCGTCGCGCGCAAACAAGAACCTGCAAGCCATAGCGCGCCACTGAGGCTGTGCGCGCCGTCCACGTGTAGCAGCCAATCTGGCTGATCGACGTCATTCGCTCGACTTCCGGTATCCACCTGCATACTAAGCACGTACCAAGCCGGGTCAAGCTTGCCGAGCATTGATAAGGAAGGCGGTGGCCGCGCCTCACTTACTTGGCCACACTTCTACCACCGCCCCAAGTACATTCTTGTACTCAACCACCCCCAAACTCTACAACACCAAAACCGATGGGAGAACCCGACGACCCCTCTATACGCAGCTTCAAGTCTAAGGCAGTATCTGCACTTGGCTTGGGACGCAAGAAAGACACGCAGACCGACGTCCTTCCGACCCACAACCCCCACTCGACCGCCCATCCTGGCCTAGATGGCAGCAACCCGTCGCGTAGTGCACATGGCACCAGCGACCACAGCGAGAAGCCCGTTGCCAGCGATAATAGCTCCACAGACATCGACAATGGCAGCGTCAATACCGCGCCCGATGGAACGACGCCTCCCGCCATAGGATCCGAGAAGCGTCCGTTCTACTCGCTCGTGCGTGTCAAGAACGGAAGCCTCCGATTCATATCCCACACCAAGAATGCCATCACACACAGCTGGATCAACCTCCTGCTCGTCTTCGTGCCTCTTGGCATTGTAGTCAAGCTTGTGCACCTGAAGCCCGAAATTGTCTTCTCCATGAACGCCATCGCCATCATTCCGCTGGCTGGCCTGCTCGCGCACGCGACTGAAGTTGTCGCTGCCCGTGTTGGAGATGCGCTCGGTGCACTGCTTAACGTATCCTTTGGAAACGCTGTCGAGTTGATTCTCTTCATCATCTTGCTCGCCTCTGACCAGATCGAGGTCGTGCAAGCGTCCCTACTGGGATCCATTCTTGCCAACCTGCTTCTCATTTTGGGCATGGCATTCCTACTCGGTGGTTTGAAGTACCAGGAGCAGGTCTACAACAATACCGTCACTCAGATGAGCGGTGTCATGCTGGCCCTCGCCGTAATGAGTCTTCTGCTACCCACTGCCTTCCACGCTGCTTTCGAGAACAACGCCATCGCCGACCACGAGACATTGTCCGTCAGTCGTGGAACCAGTGTCATCCTCCTACTGGTCTACGGCCTGTACCTCGTCTTCCAGCTCAAGAGTCATCGTTATCTCTACGCTAGCACTCCCCAACATATCATTGACGAAGAGTCACATCCCGGTGTCCTTGCCGGTGCTTTCGACTCGTCCAGCTCCGACTCTTCATCCAGTTCCAGCAGTAGCGACAGCGACAGCTCCTCCAAGAACTCTGATGGCACCATGAAGAAGAAGGCCAAGCGTATGGTGAAGCGGCTTCGCCGCAAGTCCAGCGCTAGCTCCAAAGACGCAGATGCGCTCTCAGCCCTCAATTCGCCAGAGGGTGAGCTACACCACAGTCCTTTCGATTCAGAGAGAACCAATAGCGTCGCCACTGCCAACAACGCAGCTCCTATTACTTCCCGCCGACACTCATTCGACGTCATGAGTGGTGACGAGGCCGATAACGATCAATACATCCCAGTCGTCCGTGACTTCGAAGCTGCTTCGCAAACTTCGCGCTCAGTGACGAAGAAGGAAAAACGTAGGCACAAGAAGAGCAAGAAGGATCGCCGTGATCGCAACAAGGTCGACACCATTCCTGAAAAGGAGGTCGTGCCGAATGAGCCCACGCCCAAGGTCACCTTCGCTGAGGAAGTACAGAACGACAGTGCCACTACTATGAATTCGAACCCTCGCAGATACAACCGGCCTGCTCTTCCTTCGCTGCTCTCCAACAATGTCTTCTCGAACCCTCAGAACCTCGCTCCACTCGGCGGTCCCGCGCCCAATATTCGTATGGCAGCACCTCGCGACAACACAGCTCTGCGTGCACCCCTTCGTCGATCCAAGTCCCTCCCGGATCAAATTGGCCGCGCGGATTCCACCGGCAACACAGTCAAACATCCTGCTGTCTCTCCACAGGCCGCCATGGCCCTCAACGAGGATGACGAAGACGATGAAGCACCTGACATGTCCATCAAAGCTGCTATCTTCATGCTTCTGATCAGCACTGGTCTCGTTGCTGTCTGCGCCGACTTCATGAGTGAAGCTATTGAGCCCATGGTTGAGAGTTCTGGTATCAGCCAAGCGTTTATCGGTCTTATCATTCTTCCCATCGTTGGCAACGCTGCAGAGCACGTCACTGCAGTCACTGTCGCGATGAAGAACAAAATGGATCTTTCTATCGGTATTGCTGTCGGCTCTTCTATTCAGATCGCCATCTTCATCACACCTGTCATTGTTATCCTCGGTTGGATCATGGGCAAGGAGATGACACTGTACTTCAACATCTTCGAGACTGTTGCACTATTCGTCACAGTCCTGGTGGTGAACTTCTTGGTACTGGATGGTCGCAGTAACTATCTCGAGGGTAGTTTACTGATCGCTGCCTATATCATCATTGCGCTGGCCAGTTTCTTCTACCCTGACGGCTGTGAGGCCAGTGCCATTGGTGGCAACGAGGACCGCTGCAACAACGGCGAGGTTGCTCGATTGGCGCAGGGCATGGTCAAAAGGATGATTGGCATGTAGGGCCAACATCGATAGTCAAGAACCTTGAAGCCTGAGTAACATCAGATTTCAGTATGAGTTCTTGGTCATTGCTATTGCTTTGCGATCATACGGTTGAGTGGCATGGTGTGATGTCCGCTCCCGTTTAGAGACTTTCCAGTGTGTCTCATCTCTTTCTATTACGATAGCATACAGTCCTTACAGACACCTAATAGCTTATTACCTCAGAGGTCCTCAAATTGACACATAATACTGGCTCCTCAAACGGAGCCTGCCTCACATTCTTGCCTGTGTTATTTTTCCGTGTCATGGACACTGCTTGTTCGTGGCATTCGTTGATTTGATGCACTCGTTGCTGATGTGAGGAAAACCAACGATGCCTCTAGCTAGTCGAGGGGTCATCTTCCGGCGCCCTGCCAAGAGATTTGGCGTCTGCCTAGCCCGCTCCTTCGACATACGGGGAACACTTCGCGAACTCAGCCACCAAGCTTCGACGCCCTCTGCCCTTTCCGCTGCTGATCCTTCAATATGAATATCGTGCATTCCGTCCATCTAGGATCGAACAAAAGCCCAAACTCATCCTCCCACCACGCCACGTATCGCGACACATCCTGTCGACAAGACTCCTGCTTTCCCGCATGTTGAAGAGTCGGTACAGCGCGTTCCTTTCCTTTTGTATACATAGCATAACATGGTCAGTCGGGGTGGTCGATCAAAAGGTTGTGCTAATTGTCGTCGCCGGCGTGTGAAATGCGGTATGTCCATTCACCTGGTCAACCTTTGCAGAGACCTGCTGCATGTGCTGACGTGACAAGACGAAAACCGCCCTGAATGTGGACAATGCATCAAGCGTGGACTCAAATGTGAAGGGCCCAAAGACCTCACTTGGATCAATGAGAGTGTCACGTTTGAAAGCAAGCCGGCAAACACAACCCAGAACGCAATCGTCAGGATAGCTACTCCAAACCAGCTATCTCTCGCAGCCTTCGAAGATGATATCTGCTTAGCATATACACGAAAGAACTTGCTACGCGGGGGACCTGTTGAGATAGCCTGCAACATGATCGAGAGCCATGCCGCATCCATGAGAAGCGACGATCCTGGTCTGGATTTATTGCGAAAAGGCATAGTGAGCCTGTCTACCACCTTCTTCGGTAGCCAGCATCGACAGGGCAATATCACGACCAAAGGCTATCAACAGTACGGTCAGGTGCTGCGGCAGCTCAATTCACATCTTGCTCGTACAGAGCTCCAGACGACGAACGAAACATTACTTACGTCACTGTCTTGCATGCTTCTCGAGATCTTTTTACCTACTGGACCAACGAACTTTCTGAAACACCTGCGAGGTCTCGACGCCATTGCGATGCTACGAGGCCCGCCCAAGGAGTCTGAAGGTATCAACGCTATCATATTTCGGGGCCTTCGCATTCTTTCCATCGTTGGGGCACTTGCGGAATCCAGGCCCTCCATATACGCGACCGAGGAATGGAAGCGAATTCCGTCTGCACATTCCAACGAGTCAGGACTCTTTCAACACCACGTTTTCTCCATCTTGGCTGACTGTACCCGCCTCATCAGCCAGCGGAATGCTCTACTGCACTCAAAAGCATGTCCAGAGAGCTTTGAATCCTTGCTTATCGAAGTGGAGGATGTGCTTAATGAGTTGGAAGCGCTACGTCCGTTCTGGGACGTCTTGAACCGGAATCAACTAGCTGGAACGACTGAGCGATCTGACATGGCGAAGACACTGGGAGTGGCCAACCACGTTTCTGCAACAGCATTGATGCTTTACAACACCGCATACATATGCATCATTCAGATCAAAGATTCATTGTCTCCATCGCCTGTCAACACCGCACTGCGAAACGCCGCCGCGATGAAAATCGCCAAATGCCTGGAGTTGAAAGAGTACGAGCAGCGGGAAGGTGCACCGCAATCCAATACCATAGCCTTTGTAGCTATCAAGGTAGCCTGGCAAGCTTTGGGTGGGTTCAACTCACCGGAAGGACAGCGCTTAGCACATACTGTCAAGTCTGCCACCAATTCCGTCTTCGCACGAGGATCTACGCTTTCTGATGCGTCGCACTTTGCCCATTATGTTGAAGAGTCGCTATTCACCAAATTCCTTGGTAGGATACCTCTTATAGCACCGGATGGCACGGCGTGTGTTGGCAACGAATTCGGCTTGTGGCCTGATGGGCCTCCAGGGGTCATCGAGTTCAGCATGCAACAGCTAAGCACGCCCTCCGAGTTCTTTTCAGAGACCACACTCGCGCCGCTCTAGTGTGGCGCAGCTACTGTGTGACCGGTACGGGATTAGCAGCGGTCGACAGGAATCCCTCCTTAAGATGCGATGTCGCAGTACATTACACGGACACGCCACTCCTAATCTACATCAGAAGACTTCTTCCACCGCCTTCTGGACCTCTATATTAATTTCGCGGCATGTCACGCGGCTCCACATGGCGTGTTTCCAAGCTTCCCCGGATTTAGACATTAGCCGGCGGGAATCTGAGAAATGAAACGCGGCGAATTTACATCTGAACGAGCTCCGGGCGAACGGCGCATCTTCATTGATGTGATGTCAATCCAAGAGGATCTTGAGCGATGCTCAACACAGGCGGCTGTGGCTCCCTGGGTGTTCTCATAGACACAGAGTTCATGCCTCACTTAGCTTGGCCAAAACGGCGACACACTGACAGGTGTCACCAAACATCCGAGCTTCTACTATAGCAACTACCGGACAGGGTTTCTCGCCGCCTCCGATGACCCGGTTCCAGCAGTTTAAGCATGTCGTCTACCATAAACGAGCCAAGAGCCCCTAAGCTTCACGGGAATGACCTCAGGACAGCGGGCGGGGCCTTGGCGTTTATACATAAGATGGAGGGCATTGGCTTCCAGTTTGAGCAGTTCGAAACATCAGTCGTTCAAACAGTCGTTCTTTCATCAACATGGGTGTCAAGTCTTTCATTGTCGCGGCCTTTGCTGCGGTTGCCATCGCTGGACCGATCCCCGAACCCCTCGACATGATGAAGCGGGCTGGGCCTGCTGCCGGACAAGTCATCACCAAGTGCGCCAACCCTGGTCAAATCGCTCTTGCCTACGATGACGGCCCATCGCAATACACTCAGAAGCTCGTCGACACCCTGACTGCTGGTGGAGCTAAGGGTACTTTCTTCGTCACTGGATCGCTCTACGGTATGTATATGCTTCATTTACTACGGACTGAAACCACCATCTAACATGAACAGGCTGCATCTACAACCAAAAGACCGCCCTCCAAAACGCGCACAAAGCCGGCCACCAAATCGCGTCCCACACCTGGTCCCACCCCTCGAACTTCGGTTCCCTCTCCACCAACGACCTCACGTCGCAAATGACGCGCCTCGAGCAAGCCCTCGTCAACATCATCGGCGTAAAGCCCACCTACATGCGCCCGCCTTACCTCGCCACCGGCGGCAACGTGCTCCCCACGATGAAGACCCTGGGCTACCGCGTCATCACCGACGACGTCGACTCCGGCGACTGGAACGGCAAGACGCCCCAGCAGAGCCAGCAGGTGTTCCAACAGGCTGGTACCAGTGGCAATGGCCACATTCCTCTCATGCACGAGACTTATGCCAGCACGGTTAACACGCTCACCCCGTGGTTGATTAACTGGGCTAAGAACAATGGGCTTAAGATGGTTACGGTTGCTGAGTGCCTTGGTGATGCGCAGGGTGCTTACAAGAGTGGTACGCCTAACGGTCAGGGTACCTGCTAGATTCTTTGAATCGGGGAGGAGCTGCTGTGCTGCATGTACTTATCGCATTGCTCGATGCGGAAGGAATGGCCGGTAGCAGAGAATGTTGGTGATCTTTGATTAGTGTACATATTTACTTCTAGAAAGACTCTTTTGCGAGAACAGGGTTCCTGCTTCAACCACATGTCTATGATTTTGAGCTTCCTGAGGTCGTGTCTGACAGATCATGTGCCCTGACGGTGCCTTCCTTCCCTAGCTAAGTAGGTGCGTTATCGCTCTCCCTGCATCCTCTTCTCCGCACCAACAGGCGCGACTTCATCGACGAACGATCATTATGCCTTCATCTATTCCAGATGCTGCATACGCTCCCATCTTCGTGATTGCTCCTCCGGTGCTGCGAAACGCGCTTCCATATGGCTTTGGACGCACTGCACAGCCTGATGTCTCTCGCCATGCGCGGCATGATATCCAGCAAACATCACTTTAATTTCATCACCTACATTCTCATGTTCCCTCATCTGATCTCGACTCACTCACTCTCACCTTGGACTCTCTCACCCATTAGCGCCCTTGTCGAAGTTGGCTTCTGGATGGCTTCATGCCTGGTATATAATGCCTCCTTCCTCCTACAGGTTTCTTGATCTACTCATTTTCCATCAACCTCCGCGATAGTTATTGGCGGACTCGCCTATCATGGAGTTGTTGGACCTGCCTCCAGAAATCTTCCAAAAGATCATCGCCAGCTATGTCCATACTGTCGGGATCTGCAAGGCTTGGGAGCGCCGCAAGGTCTGCAGTAAGTGTTATCGTTGCGCACTTCCAGCACGAGCTTACCTCTTTTAGAAACATTTGCTGCCCTCATCTCCGCAGAGTGCTTTGGCAGGCAGCCTATGAACAAATACGTGCATCCACCAGCAAAGAAACTGTTCTTGCAACACCTCGGTCTATATCTTGGGTACCGAATGGAAGCCGCAAATGGAGCACCAACACTACTGCCTACTCTTATTCGCAAAGTGATTGACCAGTTCATGACCGTCACCAATCAAACATCGGATGTCGTCCGTGCCTCCTACACGCAACAAGTCTGCGACACCATCAAGTACTGCAGCCCTACCGCCTACACCCTTGCGACAGCACCCACCGTCTTGACATGCAAGAACGTCGCCAGCGACTCACTCGACACATGTTGCTTAGTCATTGCGACAGCGATAAGAGACAACCAACTTGTCGATTATTACCTCTCTCATGGTGTCTCTGTGTGGAGCACGACGCGCGCCTTCTACCCGCCCATTACCGTCGCTGCGGTGATTCAATCTGTCGAGTTGGTATCTCAGTTCCTGGAGCAAGCAGAGAGCGGTCTTGCGAAAACAAAGAAAGCCAAGGCGAAGGGGATACTGGCCAAGTGCATGGCCATCGTTACTACTGGAACAAAAGGCTGGGAAGTGGCCATCGTGCTGACAAACTGGTGGTATCAGCATCTTCCTAAACCACAACCAGGAAGAATCCTACAATGGATCTATCGAGCTGTGGAATCTTGTGCGGCCGAATTTCTTCATCATATCCTCGACCACGGTATCACCCTGACAATGAAAGCCGACCTAGTACGACGCGTCTATCAAACACATTTTAGGGCCGAATCCCAGGACCTTCTCGCTGGGGCTTTGATTGATCGAGGTCTTCTGGACGTGTCGAAATTTCATCATGACGCGAGAGATTTCTCCGGCTCTCTTTTGGCCCTAGCTGTTAAGGAGTCCAACATCCCACTTGCTAGAAGATACTTGGACTCTGGTCTGGGCCGCAACGGCTTGCGAAATCGAAAGGGCGAATACGAATTTCCGCTGATCCGTGCCGTGGAAAAGGCCGACGATGATATGGTCAAGCTTCTACTGGAATATGGCACCGATCCATCCCCAGCGCTATGTTGGATTCGTTTAGGAGCTATCATACTTGATCGGGAGACCGAGCAAAGGTTCAAGGCATTGCTAAGCGCCGCGACATATGACGCAAGAAAGGAATGGCGTCGCGATCGCTAGTATTGTGCGACGATGTCTCCATGACTCGTGTCCAGTACACTCGGCGTCAGACTCCTAAGACGGGTTGTCGGAAGCATACGAGTTGATGGATGCCTTCCACAAAAGCTTCTTCTTTCCTGTGTGCTTTTTGCTTTACTCAGCTCATGGCGTTCAATCCTCGGTCACCAGAACCACGAAGCAGATGGACTTCATAAAAGCACTCACTGTCTTCTCTTCTTTGTCTAGGCGCAGTCGGCTTCTTCCTCACTCTACATAGCCTTCATCAATGCAATATACAATCTCCCTCTAACGAACACTGAGCTACTAATTCCTCTGTTGTGACCCAAGATCCAGTTAAAGCATCCTATTCAGGTGAAAAACTGATCATCGTGAGGCCTGAAACAACGCTACATCTTATCATCCACTCGTGGCTTGCCTATTATTGGCTATGCGCTGCAGGCCTATTCAGTCTTTTCCTTGCATGAAGTGATGGCATGTCTGAAGTCCAGGACGCAAATCGACGATGAGAGTTTACACGCGCGTCACAATAAGTTCAAGCAGATAAAGTTTTTGAACTTTACAATGAATATTTCTGTCGCCGGCCTACTCTTGCAGACCGAGCGAACAATACTGTTACAAAGCCAATGCGCACTTGTCTATGCTACAAAAGCCACGACACCATACGCATGCTTACGTCTAGAGTGGAATAAAAACCTTTGAATCATCGCCAAGCACTCCTCCATGTCATGAACCATGCCACAATGCACCTAAGAAGAAGGAAAAGATCGATAAAACTACATCTTCAGCCACCATCACCTCCTGGCATCCAGGTCCTTGAACGTCGCTGGGCTGGGAGGAACCAATGGGCCCTTGACCCCATCGTTGCCTTGCGGCTCGATGTATCCAGGCGCCTTGCCGTACTCACCAGAGAAGTACTTGTGGAAATCTTGGCTGTCCTCGAAGGGACGGGGTCCGAGTAGCCTGATCATGTCTTCGCGGCCGAGCATTTCCTTCTTGAGGAGCTCCTCTGCTACGAGGCCGACTTCGTGCTTCTTCTCGGTGAGGAGGTCCTTGCATTGCTTGTAGGCTTCGTCGACGATCCGCTTGACCTCCATGTCGATGTTCTTGGCGGTGTCTTCGGAGAAGGGCTTGGTGAGTTGTTGACCCTCGCCGTCTTCGAAGTAAATGTATCCGATCTTCTTGCTCATGCCCCATTTGCTGACCATGGCGGTGGCCATGGCAGTCACCTTGCGGAAGTCGTCGGATGCGCCGGAGGTGACGGTGTCGAAGTGGAGCTCTTCGGATACACGTCCTCCTAGTGTCATGGCCATGCGGTCCATTAGCTGGTTAACGTTCATGAGGTATGTGTCGCCGTTGGGGAGGTACTGGGCGTATCCAAGAGCGCCTTGGCCACGGGGAATGATGGAGACCTTCAGGAGAGGGTCGGCCCACTTGAAGTACCAACCGCAGATAGCGTGGCCGGCCTCGTGGTAGGCGACGGTCTTCTTCTCCTCGGGCTTCAGGACGAGG